GTGTCGCAGGAGAAACATTTTATTGGCCACCGTGGATTGTCACAGATAAGCCCCATCAATGACCTATCTTTTACCAATGAATATTTTCTCCAGTAACAGCTGTGGTGGGGTGAAATGATAAATCCCCAGACCTACAGCTCAGCTGAAACCCTTAAATAAAGACCATCTATAAATGGATGAAGCTGGTGGGGAAGGGAGAGGGAGGGCAGGGTGGTCGTGCAGGACATCAGGAGGCAGCACTGTTATTAGCATGTAGTCACAGATGGAATAAATTCAGAGAGTGATTTGTAAAGCAGGCAGGGATGAGAAATAGCACCCAGATACAGTAAGGCATAAAAGGGTCAGTGCTCCATGGGAGTCAGCAGAGCTATGCTGGAGGAGAGACTTCAAAATACAACACCAGTGCAGACAGTTGGTGGGGATATTTTAGGAATATTAATTAAGAGAGAAAACAGGATTAAAAATACAAATTGCAGGTAGGAGCTTATGGGATAATTAAAAGAAAAAAGTGATGAAACTAAGATTAGGGTTCATTATTTAAAATAAAATTTAAAGAATCAAAGAATGCTTTGGGTTGGAAGGGACCTTTCAGGGTCATCTAGTCACTCATGGCAGTGAGCAGGGATATCTGTAACCAGATCAGGTAGTGTCCCCAGCCCTGCTTTCCTCTCAACCATCATTTTCTCCAGATAGCCAATGCTTTCATTCATATAAAATCAGTGCTTTGCACTTCCACCGCCTCTGCCAAGTGCCTGTTCGAGGGTGGCTAGACTTGCAGCACACTGAAAGTCCTCAACCCAAGAATCTGCCACCTCCTAAACGAGCCCCTGCACTTCTCTCGAGGACCTTTCAGGTGATTTTGGACCAAAGCAGAAGCTGTAGGCAGTTGGAATAGGGTGTGTAACTGAGCAGCCTCATCCACCTCACCTCCCCACCCTCTAGCTCTTGATGAGGCTCAGCTCCCCGCACGGACCCTCTGCTCCAAACACTCCACAGAGAAAACAAAAGCAAGCTACCTGCTCCGTCCACAGGACTTCACTGTCCATCTTCACATCTGCAAACGCCCAGCTCTCACGTCAGGCTGAGCTTAGCAGCCATCTAAAGGGAGTCAGGCTGGGACAGCTCGGTTGTCCCTATGGCAGGCATGGAAGTGGCAGATCTGAGCAACACAAACCTGGTTATGGTTGGAAGGCTCTTTCTTTCACTCAACTGTGCTTCTTATCGAGAAAACAAGATCAAGGAGGTGGTATTCGTCTTTAGCATTTATTTATCATTGGAAAAAAACCCTTTGAGCAAGCAAAGATCACAAGCACGTCACAATCAATTGGCGATACATTAATTGTTTTTTGGAGGGTGTTTGTGTGTGTCACTCTCATCGGAACAGCAAGAATGATAAAGCCCCACGAGGAGGTGTGCTTAACACATCACGGGAGACAACTGGTGATACGCAACCAAACCCAGGCCACAAAGTATTAATTAGACGCTTCCTATCCGCCTCCAAGAGGCAAGAGGTTGGGGGCTTGATGGGAGCCACGCTGTCACACCGGGCGGGGTGCAAATGAAGCAGCAGGTGATCGATGGGCAAAGCAGTCAGGAAACAGGAGCTCAGGCAGCAGTTAGCACCATTTTGCAGAAAGGAGTCACAGTCCAACATGGTGAAAATGAGGAAGCGAAGCAACAAGACAGCGGAGGAACTTTCACAGGGTAAAAAGCAAAAACATCTATTTTTTCTCTTTTTTTTTTTTTTTTTTTTTAACAAGGGAAGCAAAACAAGTTACAAATCAGAACCAGCACCGTGGAAACACAAAACAGCAGAGCACCCTTTCCCCAGCGGGATGGACAAGCTCAGAGTCCAAAGTGAACTGGAAATGGCAGAGATTGGGTCTCCTTTCTGATAAACCTGAGTGGGTTGCATGGGCACAGAGTCTGTGGGAAGGAGAGCAAGGCAGGATTTCACCCTGAGGCCCGACTGCTGCAGTTCCTGGCATTTAATGAGATGCTAATTTGTGTGCTTGGATGTGTGCTGAGGAGCTGGTGCATGTGGAGCAAAGGCCAGGATTGATATCCCTGTTTTGTTGCTGTATGACAGGGAGCTCCTCAGGTCCTACCAGTCTCCCAGGCTCTTTCTGCAAAGACAGAAACCTTCCAAAGATCATTCAGCTTACCCAAAGAGAGGTGTCCAAAATAGGTAGCTCGATGGCCCTTGGAAAGTTCCTTCACTAGAGAGAGAATTTTAGACCACTGGTTAGCACTTCATGCCTAGCTTTGTGTTTAGATGCCACCAAAAAGTTCATGTATTAAGAAAACATAAGGCCACATTCTGACTATCCACTGTGCATGTTCCACTCAATACTGTGATGGATGCTCTTCATTGAGAAGAAGCAATCCTGAAGCCCCAGATGATGAGCAGTTCATCCAGAGTCATGGAGATGCCTGGATTAGGTGGCCCTGAACTTCTTAATGACGTTCCTAGGGCAAAATTTGGTTACCCTTGAATTCAAGGGTTGAATTCCCATTGAATTCAAGGTGAAATGGTGGCAAGAGTGGTCAAAACTATGGGTCAAAAAATAACAAGGAGAATTGTTTGGGATGGTCTTCCCTTATGTAACGAGATGAGTGTGTTGGGCTACTAGTAATTGTCTACTTGTCTTCCTGAGAAGTTTTGCCTGCTGTGACACATCATCTTCAGGGCTGTTGCTATATGTTGTGTTGGGAAAGGACGTTACCGTGGAGTGTGAAGATGCATGAAGCACCTAAATGCCAAGGAATCACACCAAGTCTTGGAAGCTGGGGCTTCTCTGGCCAGTTGTCCCTTGTGCGATGGGGTGGGAAGAGCTGTGAGTGGTGCTCCTCTCCACCAGCTCAACACCAGCCTTTCACCGAGCTGCTCTGGAGACAGAGCTGAGCAGGGGCTTCTGAGCACTCAGAAAAGCAATGGTCAGTATGGACAGGGCAGTGCCTCCATGGAGCATGCACATCAAAAAATGCACGACATTCGCAAAGATTTCCAGTTTTACTTCCTGGAGGATTTCCCTGGTTTCCTCCTCAACAGCGGAGGTTTAAATATATATATTTCTAGATATGAATATATATTTTCCACAGACACAACCTGACTAGCTCACAGTTCTAACACAGCTAAGCTTGGAAACACACCACTGAGTTCAGAACACTACACTTACTTCTACTCAAAGGTTTAGGCTGTTAGCGCAAGGCAAACAGGACACATCACACAATACACTGAACTTGGCATCAACTCATTACTAAGGCCAGCAAATGTCACACTATCTGTACACCACGGAGCTTTCCTCCTCTTTGGAAACCTTCTCTCACCCTTGTAGCCCACCACTCATTTATGTTTCCAAAAGACCAAATTCTAACAGGGGTGAGAGCCCAAAAATGGGACTCCTCACTCTCCCAGCCCATCCCTTTTTCTGTTAGATAGTTTCACACCTCTAAAACATCCTAGCGTCAAGACTTTCCTCATTCAAACACCTCTACAGCAACACAGTTCTGATATTCTCCTTTTATACCATCTCCCTACTCTACTTCTCATCTCTCTCTTTGTTCTTCCCAATGGTTTGTCCTCTGCACATTTCAAGCTGCACTGAGCGTTAGGACAAAAATACTGAGCTGCAAAAATAAAGAAGAACCCAGCATCTTGACTTGCAGCTATTCTGCTACAGGAGAGTCTAACACCTCAGTTTGGTGGGATCAAGGCTGATCCTTACGTAGTTAGGACCCAATCCAGGGGTGAGGCACATAAATACGGATTGGGACCAGATCTCTCCCAGCTCCCACTGCCTCAACGACCCAGATGCTGGGGTATGCAATGCCAGTCTGTTGGGCCAGTTCACGTGCTGACAAGTGGTCCTGCTGTGTTCACAGCTTCCAAACTGGTCTTGCTGGGCATGAGGATTTCCTAGAGTAAGAGCACAGTAAGTAAGATTGAAACCCTGAGATCTTGCCTGAAGGGAGTCTAGGGATCCCAGCAAGGGGTTTATGGCCCTCTTAGGATGCTTACAAGCCAACATGAACTCCAACAGCTGGTAGAGTCAAAACAATGGGGTCCAACAGCCTTAGCCAACCTCAGAGACTCATTTCTTTCTACCCCTTGGAAGGTCACATCTGCAAACCAAACCATTTCTGAAATCTAGCTCTGTCTACTGGCACCCCAGAAGTGAAGAAAGCAGACCACAATTCAAAACAAAGCAGGAATAACAAAAAAGATCCATAACTTAGGGGAAACAAGAGGGAAGAACAGCCTGCTGAGAACCTAGTCTGACCTACCACATGCTTGGGAAGTCTTCACTGCTCTCTGCATCTTTCCTCACTCTTTTTTTTTTTTAAATCAAGGACTTCAAGTGGTACTGAGGGGTGAAGTTGCCTTGATGCAGCTATACCTACCCTGCAGCTACCCTGGGGGAGGATTTGGCCCGTTATTTGCATGAGATCTCCTTTCCCATTGCTTCTTGGAGCAGAAGTCCCACTGGTGTCACCAGGGGAAATTGCTCTTGGCCACCACACTTACTCTAGTGGATTTACAGCAGATCCACAGCACCACGAATGAACCTCTGCTCCTCTCTGCCTCCAAAACCTTCCACCCGCTGACACCAGTGGGAGATGGCTGAACAACAGCCAACACCAAAAGGGTCTCATGGGATGAGAGCACAGCCCCTCCACAGCTCAACAGCCATGCCATCACGGTTGATCCACCAAGCTTCATCTCCTATCACCCTGCTTGTGCATTCCCATGTCCCTCACTCTGTGCAGAGCCTTGTTGAGCAGGCAAAGCAGAACAACCTGACCTCAGAAACAAGGATTCCCTAATCCTCCTTGGAAATAAAACAGAGAAGCTTCTAATACAATCAGAACAAAAAGCAGATTAGAAGCCTCTAATTAATTTTGTGGCCTTTATTTAATCAGAGAGAAAAAAAAAGGAAGAAAGAAAGAAAGAAAAGGAAAAAAAAAATATAAAGAAAGGAAAGTGCAGTGACATTTACTCTTTTGCCTCAGCCAGTTTATTGTTCATCTCTTTGCTTTTCTCCTTGTCCTCTGGCTTTGCTGTGTTGGAGGTCTCGGCGCTCTTTTTCTTGGCAGCCCGGCCAGATGCAATCTGCTTGTCTTTGGCCTTTTTCAGGGGTTTATGGCTTGTTGTGGTCTTTTTTGGTTTGGAAGGCTTTACGCTAGGCTTTTCCACCTGCATGGAGGGCGACATGCAAAACGACAACACAGACAGAGAGGGAGAAAGAGAGAGAGACACAAGGACAGGTGGAAAACAGGATTTAGATCCAAACAGGCATGAGTGTTCCTTATCTCTTCAGCTAAGCCCTGCCACCAAGGGAGAGGAGCAGCTGGGTGCCTGCTGAGCTGTAACTGGCCAACTCTTTTTGTGGTGTTGATGCCCTGAAGTCACAGTTGGCCCTGAAGGCAGCAGAGCCTGTTCTATGCAGCTCGGGACACAGAACGGTAAAGAGGAGAGGGAAAATTATCAGTCAGCTCATCAGCTCCTTCAGCCTTCTCTGACTTCAGGAGGAGCTCTGCAAGCCCACAGGGGATTGTCTCTCTCTCTCTGGATTCAAAGCAGAGAGATGATGCTCAGGACAAAGAGGCTGCTACAAATCCCCACCTTTCTTGCAGGACACAACTCATCAGTCTGTTTGTCCCTTACTAGATTGCCACAATGGAAGAACATTACTTGAGGGTGGCTGAGTGAAATGCTGGGGTTTGAGCCCCGAGCCCCCGAATTAAGGTTGACATATGGGTGATTCCCATAGCCCTTCACAAAGAGGTGGTGAGTTTGCCTTATAGCTTCCCCCCCGGGTGCAGCTGGCCCTGCAGGGAGAGCCAGAAGGGAAATGAGCCCCAGGGGTCCTGCATTGAGTTGACAAAGGTCAGGTGTCTGCTTGGGGATAAAAGCTGGGACCACTGGCAGGGAGTCAGGAGTGTCTGTCTGTGGAGTGCACTCCACAGAGCTTCCTGGTTCAGGGCAGACCTCCTGACTCTCCTGGAGCTGGGCCCTGGTCTGTTCAGACCTTTGCAAACGCAGGTCAATCAGGTGAGAGTCACTATGTGGGCACCTTTCTCTTATGTGTTCAGCTTGCTGGTCTGGCTGTTTCCCATGCCAACTGTGGGCAACCTCGGGTCTCTGTTTGTACCACCTGTTGTGGGCCGAGTCACGTCCTTTGTGAGATCATTGGGGGTGGTGTCAATTATGTACCAGCTGATTGATCTGTTTGTACCCCCAGTGATCATTCATGCAATGTCCTTCTTGTATACAATACAGTCTGTGTATTGGTTCATCTTCCTGCTGGTGGTGGTATCATTTTTGTTGGGCCTGGTCATTGGCAGAAAACTGAGGTGCAGGACACTGATTGGCACGTCAGCAAAGTCCATGACAGTGTCTGACATCCATGGGTTTCTACAGCCTCCAAAACAGGGAAGGTACTTTCAAAATTAAGGAGGAACTGAAGCCTTAAGCAGCTCCACCTGCCATCTCTCTGGACCTCTCAAAGTGCTTAGAGACTCTAGGAAGAATGAATGCTCCAGAGTTTAACATTGAACAGACTGACTCCTTCTATATCCAGATCTGCTGCTGCTCCTAGAAAACAAGGCTGGAAGATATGTCAGCCTTGACATAGGTCCTTCTTGACACATCCTTGATCTGATCAAAGTCAAAAGTGTTCATGGTCAAAAGCCGTGGAGTGCTCTGAATTAACTGCAGGTGAACATCTGGATCTTACCATGTTGCTCCTGGGATAAAGTGCAATGTAGGGTGCCTACAGTTTTGGAGGGAGAAAGAGAACGCTGTCTAGGTAACCACCTGGGAAATGACAATGCAAAAAACTTTATCTGGGCCCCATCCTCACTTCTGTGCAGTTTAACATAGGACACTCCTGCCTTCAAAGTGCATCAACCTGGACTAGAGCCCATAGAACAACAGAATGGTTTGGGTTGGAAGGGATCTTAAGGATCACCTATTTCCAACCCTGCTGCAATGGGCAGGGACACCTCCCACTAGATCAGGTTGCTCAAAGCCCCTTCCAGCCTGGTTTCAAACAGGGATGGAGCATCCACAGCTTCTTGGGACAACCCGGGCCAGTGTCTCACCACCCTCACAGTGAAGAACTTCTTCCTTCTATCTAACCAAAATCTCCCCTCTTTCAGTTTAAAACTGTTACCCCTCTCCACTACACTCCTTGGTAAAGAATCCTTCTTCATCATTCCTGTAGGCCCCCATGGAAGTCCTGTCAGGCCCCCAGAAGGTCTCCCCAGCTGGAGCCTTCTCCTCTGCAGGCTGCCCAAGCCCAACTCTCTCCTGCTGGGCTCCCAGCAGAGGGGTTCCCCCCTCGGCTCATTGCTGGGGCTCCTCTGGCCCTGCTCCAGCAGGTCCCTGTCTCTGCTGGGCTGAGGACTCCAGAGCTGCCCCAGCACTGCAGGGGGGTCTCCCCAGAGCAGGGCCGAGGGGCAGGATCCCCTCCCTGCCCTGCTACCCACGCTGCTGGGGGTGCAGGCCAAGGTACAATTGGTTTTCTGGGCAGCAAGCACACAGGGCCAGCTCATTCTCAGTTTTTCATCCACCATCATCTCCAAGGTGGATTCCCAGATGCACCTGCTGGTTGGAAATGAAGATGCCCCATGAGGGGAAAGACAGCAGGCAGCATTCAGCCCGGCCTTAATGTCTTGGACAAGTCCCACTAGGAGAACTGGTGGCCCTGGGTCCCTTCAGCTGCATTTCTCACCTTTGGTGGCTCTTTGTAGGGTTCGCTGTAGAGAGTGCGTATCCTTCTGCGCTCCAGGAATTTGTTATCAGCTGGAGCAGGCTTACTGGTTTCCCCCTTGAACTGAGCGCTGTAACTGGTTTCATGGGTCATTTTCTCCTCTGGTGGCTTGTACTGGGGTTTCGCTTTTATAGCTTTCACGGGCTTGACGTCTACCCAGGGTCTGAACTCGTTTCTGAAGGTCAAAAAAGAAAGAGGTCCAGGCATTAAACCAACAGGAGAGTAATGGTAACATGGGAATGGAATCCCGTCACTGCTCAACAAGGTCTCTCAGAAGGGCCTTTGCCTCCATCCAGTCAGGTTTACAAAGAAACTGGCTTCCACCAGATCATTTTTTTCCTCATCCAAAACCCATTGACACATAGGAGAAGTCAAATTGAAATCTGGACTACTAAAATCAGCCAGTCTTGTGCACCATTCAACCTGCTTGTTGTGTGACAATGGTCAGGTGCCCTCTGCAAACATGGTCTCAGATGTGACTGCATTGCTTTTTTTGAAAATATAGTTATTTTTGTCTCTACATCCCTGCAAGCAGTTCCTGACTCTTGCAATTTTGGACAGAGCTGCAATTTTTTGCAAAAAAAAACCCCAAACACATTTCAAAGATCTTGAAAAACACATTCTAGTTCTCATCCACAAACTCCTTCTCTCACATTTTGTAGTTCTTCCCAACACAGCATCAATATCTTTTCAGTTTTGAAGCAAACCATTTCATTTTCTCTCTAAAACTTGCCATTCACCAAGGAACAGGGATGGAGAAGCCCCAAATGTGTTGCTATCTCAAATGTTTTGTGCTCAGACAGTGCCAGGCAGTGTTTAGACCCTTAAGACTTGAAGAGCTATCCTAATATTAGTGATAGAGGACGTCCACAAAGGGGTGAATTTTCCATGGAAATCAAAGTCCTTGTCCTAATTTCAGGACCTCTAAGTTGCAGACCCTGTTCCCTCTTGCTCTGTTCCACTCAACCACATTTGGGTTGTGTTGCTTGTTTTCAGTCTAGTTTATTGGGGAGATAAGCCCCGTGTGAGGGTACTGTCAGTCAACTCCTTCTCCTAATGGCTTTGAACATCTCCATCAGCTTCAACTAAACGTGACAAATGCTCACAGGAACACTAAGTTTTTTGTTTGATGAAGATAAGCAGTTGGACTGAGGTCAAAGGCTCAGGAAAGCTTCAGTATGGACACGCACACACACTTCATTGGTCATCAGAGGACCTGCTTAGGCATGGAGGCTAGGCTGCAGAAGTTCATCTGTTGTCCCCAGGGACCAGTAAGAAAATGCACAGGACCCACTAGAGCAGCTTCCTGCTCACCCAGGACTGTGTTTTCCATTCACATAGTCCCACTAGAAAGACAGAAAACCCCTTTCTCTTCCAAGACAACTGCTGGTCGCAAAGGCCTTCTGGCTGTGCTTCTCTTCCTAAGGCACCTACGTTCAGGTCATACCACATCTGCAGGGCACCAGCCTTGTGGGAGTCAATGTGGACTAGCCAGCACAGTCAGTGGAGCCTGGAGAGCCCTTCCCTATGCCAAAAATGGGAGACTGCTTTAGGACGAGCTGAATGCCTCTTTGGGCCCTGTTGACTGACTAGATCCGCAACTCTCTAGTTGCAGATGTCCCTGCTTACTGCATGGGGGGTTGGACTAGATGACCTCGAAAGGTGGTTTCCTACCCAAACCCATCTATGATTCTATTCTATCACCTCCACTGATGGGAATACTAACATCTAGCACATGTGAAGATACTCTCGCATACACCCCAAAATGTAGGTATCTTAATCTATGAGCCAAATCCCATCGCCAGCTCTCCATCCTTTCTTCCTGTTGAATAGCTACACCTATTTTTTCTTCTCCTTTTATGTCCTCATTGCCCTCCCCTTCTAGTACTATCCAGCCCTTCTTGGGCATGGATAATGCTGCCAAAGGCCCAAGGATATTGTCTTTTTGAAGGACGTTATTCTTCATGAAACTTGCACTGAACGGGCAACATGTGAATGGGCTCATTTGTGTCCCTTTGGTTCCTATTCCCTGAATGCCATCCACTGTCCACAGCTACTTCTCTGCAGTCCATTGTTAAAATATCCCTTCTGCATGAAAAGTTGAGATAAAGGAAAAGGAAACATCTTTAAAGGACCTGATTAAAGATGTCACTACATTACCAGCACACTCAAAGTTCATCTGAAGTCCTCTGAAGGTAAGAGGCTTCTTCTTAGGAACCACTTTTCCAAGTGGGCTTTTCCAAGTTTCCAAGTAGACTACGTCTTTTCATTTGCTTTCCAAAAGGAAATAAAATCATCCACTACTTCTCTCTGCCCATGTCTACCTGTCACTCACATCTCTCCCTAGCAACTTCTGAGACTGTTGGGTATTTTCTAGCATATCCACAGCAGAAAAAGAAATCTCAAAGGTGAAAATCACACCACCTTTCCTCAGGATCAGTGAGTGGGCAGACAGAACATCCAAATGGTGTTCTGCAGCTGAAGGGAACATAGCTGATGGTCATTTTCTCACTCATTCTCAGGCCAGCTGGCTAACCATCCCACACGGACCACCAGGTCAACCAGCCAAACCTAAGCACAGCTTGCACCTATGCAACCAGAGACAAAGGATGGAGGCTGCAGTACTGTGCACGTAGGGGCTGAACTTTGGAGATGGAACATGAGCCAGGATTTATTCCTTCTGCTGCTCATAAAATGCTGGTTTAGATGGAGGTGAGCTTTGAAGCAGTGTGATCATATTGATTCCCGTAGTGCCTGGCAGCCTCGTTATCTGCAGCATTATGCAAACACCCAGAAAGACACAGGCTGCTCCCTCTAAGGTCTGTGATCTCTGGAGACAAGGCAGATGCACAAAGCAGGGAAAAGGGAGAGAAAAGACTTGTGCCCCGTGGAGGCTGGCAGGGAACCAGCCCCTTGCATGGGCTTGCTGCTGCAATGCTAAAGCAGGAGATCATAGACTCAGAGACAGACAGCATTTTTTAGGTTGGAAAAGGCATTTAAGATCCTTGTGTTCGACCATTAACCAAGTCCACCACTAAACCATGTCCCTCAGCTTCACATCTACAGAGCTTAACAATCCCTCCAGGGATGGAGACTCCACCACTGCCCTGGGGAGCCTGGCACAGCCCTCCACAGCCCTCAAAGGCAAGACATTGTTCCTCAGGGCCAACCTCAACCTCCTCTGGGGCAACTTGAGGCTGTTTCCTCTTGTTCTATTGCTTGTTCCTTCGGAGAAGAGCCCGACCCCCACCTGGCTCCAGCCTCCTGTCAGGGAGCTGTGGAGAGCCAGAAGGTCTCCCCTGAGCCTCCTTTGCTCCAGGCTCAGCATCCCCAGGTCCCTCAGCTGCTCCTCACCACACTTGGGCTCTAGACCCTTCCCCAGCAGCTTCGTTGCCCTTCTGTGGCCACGCTCCAGCCCATCAAGGTCCTTCTTGGAGCAAGGGGCCCAAAACTGAACACAGTCCTCAAGCTGTAGCTTCCCCAGTGCCCAGTCCAGGGGGATGATCCCTGCCCTAGTCCTGCTGGCCACCCTGG